ATTTTATGCCGCTGTATTCTTTATTGTGTATACTGTGTTTCCAGCGTGTACACGTTTTTGGTAAAACGTTCGTTAAAATCGTTTAAAAACCTAGCTGTTTTTTATTAATTTGTTATTTGTTTTTTGTTATTTGCGTATATTAACATGTCTTTTAAAGACAGCGACGTGCATAGCCAAAGTAAAAAAATTATATATAGTGTTTATTCGTTTTTAAAAAAGTTATCGGAAAAAGAAGATTTAGACGCTAATTTTTTTAAAAAAACTCAAGACGTGACTGCTGAGGCTTGCGGGATTTCAAAGCGGACGATTCAGCGCATTTGTTTAGAAGCTCGAAAAACAGAAGAAATTGAAGAAGCGCCTGGTCCTTCCTTCGTGTCACCGAGAAAATCTTACAAGCGAGCAAAATATGTATCGGAAGTGGATGATTTCGATGGTGATATAGTAAGGAGAACTGTACACGAATTTTATGACAAGGGTGAGTACCCCACTGCACAACTTATACTTAATTCTGTCAAGAAGAAAAACAATTATCCAGGAAGTCTTAGATCAATGCAAAGACTTCTAAAAAATCTAAAATTTTCATATAAAAAATGCAGTGATGGCCGTAAGTTTTTAATGGAGCGCAATGATATAGTTTCTCTTAGGTGCACATTCTTACGAAAAATGTGCACATTGCGAGTGAACAATGATACTCGACCTATTGTATACCTGGACGAAACATGGGTCAATCAAAACCACTCACGGACCATTGCATGGCAAAATGAAACAAACTCCATAGGTCTTAAAATACCGACAGGTAAAGGAGGCCGACTTATTGTTGTTCACGCAGGATGTTCCAAATACGGGTTCATACAAAATTCGAAATTGGTTTTCCGTAGTAGTACCGGTAACTCCACAGATTACCACAACCAAATGAACTCAGATCTATTCAAATCTTGGTTCATCACAATGTTAAATAACCTTGAAGAACCATCTATCATTGTGATGGATAATGCATCATACCATTCGACACTAGTTGATAATTTTCCTAAGTGTAATGCTAGAAAATCAGATGTTCAGGATTGGCTGACCAAAAAAAATATTACATTTTCTCCATTAGAGACGCTAGCGGAACTTAAACAAAGGGTCAAATTACTAATTCCGATGGAGAAGAAATATGAATTAGACGAATTGGCATTGAAAATGGGTCATGAGGTGATTCGACTACCACCATATCACTGCCAATACAATCCTATTGAACTGATATGGGCTCAAGTAAAAAATAAGGTAGCGACAAAAAATAATACATTCAAAATGGTTGACATAGAAAAGCTAACACATGAAGCGTTAGATTCAATTACGCAAAATGATTGGGAAAAATGTGTAAAACATGCCGAATCAATACAAGACAAGGACTACGATAAAGAAATTTTAAGAGACAGTTTGTTAGAACCTATTATATTGACTATATTACCAGACGACAGCGATTGGGACTCTAGCGATAATGACGAAGAGTGTATTGAATAGCCTTGTATAATAAATTGTATTTAATTATTAACAATTGATCTGTACGTGTATTTTAGTTTTTTTGTAAATTAAATATGTATATATATGTAATTTTACTAATAATTTAAGTTAAGTATGTGTTTATTTTTGTATATTAAGTTGAACACTATAAAAAAAATTATGAAAAATAAAAATGCGTAATATTATTATTTTCAACAAATAATAAAAAAATTTATATGAATACGAAATATTTGAAAAAGCGCGGCAAAAAGTTTAATGACCACTATTGCGAAAAACCCGCTAGGATCGTTGCGATCACCCGCCAGTTTTCGTGTCGCCGACTATAGTCAAAAAGTACAAAGGAGTAATTGAATGCATGAAAACAGATGCTGTAAATGCAAAGTAAGAAATTAAATCACTAGGTACAAATGTAAAATAGCAAATAACTAACTTGTTTCACTTGTTTTTAGAATGAAAAAAGATGCCTGGATAAAAATTCAAAATGAATTTAATTGTCAATTGCCAGAAACCCCTCGCACAGCCATTATTTTAAAAAATAAATATGAAAATGTAAAAAGAAATGTAAAAAAGCAATACGTCGAGGAAAAAACTTTTAGACGAGGTACTGGTGGTGGTCCAATTAAAGTGTTTCAAAGTACATCAATCGCATCGACAGTTGGTGAAATACTACAAATCAGAATCACAGATGAAACCTCTATCTATGATTCAGATACTAGTAACCTGCAATATTGTAATGCTGAATTAGAAACTGATATGTTGAAACATCAGTTTATTGAACCTGTACATGTTTCAAATGGTGATGATAATGACATCGTAACATTAATGTTTAGTGACATTGATTCTGTTAATGAATCAACAACTTGTGGTGAGCTTAATTAAAATTATAATTATAACTTTTATGTTTCTTATTATTATTGTTCATATAATCACTATTTTAATATTTTGCTATAGAACAATATAATGGACAGTCACAGACTTCAACCACCAAACGGGACTGGACAACTTACTCTCCAGCTGATTTGAAATCTAGATCAAATTTAACAAATAATAATGCAGCTTCAGATACATATTTTATATATGAGTTAAATATTATTCTAATTGGTTTAAAAATGACCCAGGGGTGTCCACTAGATTTATTATTAGTAGAGCAAAGGTCTTGAAGCATTTGCATATTTTTTTTTTTTTTGCACAGTCATAAAAATAGCAGAGTACAAAACAAATACGTTTTTTGCTTTCACAAAGCTGGTTTTAAAATTTTATTTTGCATATAAATGCATATTTTAGGTTTTTTGGGCATACATATTTGTTTCATTATAACATACTTTTACATGCATATTTTAAATAATTTATCATTTAATTTAATTTTGATCATAATATTAATATAGTTGTTGACTTTTCCCAGACTTATGTTTTTCCTAGAAAGACATCTCAAGAGTTTCAGAGAGGGTTAGATTAATAATATTTAAATAAGTATTTAAATACCTATTTTAGTCAATTGTTTTTTAGTAGTTGACGAGGTTGAAACATTAATTTAAAGAAGTATCTGAAAACCCATAAAATATAATATATTTAAATAACTCATACTCCCATCTAACCCTTTTACAAAAAATATCTCTATGAGTCTATTAAAATATTAGTTCATTAATGTTTTATTCAGATAGTAATGTGACAAAAAAAAAAAAAAGACATATCAGGACAAAATAACCAGTTGGGCATCAACTAGAGCCTCACTGAGTGAAGAACAAAAGTCTGCTTTTACTGAATATCATAAATTTGAAATGCATCTCAAGCGAGAAAAACACAATTTGGAACTACAAATGATGACTGAAAAACATAAAATTGAAATTGAAAATTTAAAACTGACAAATGACATTTTAAAAATGCAAAATGAAGCTGAAAAATTAAAATATTCAAATATAAATATCTGAGTCATTTATTAAAGTTACTATTTGTTATTAATTTTTTTTTTTTGTTTAATTCATTAAGATTTTATAATAAATATTAATTCTTGTTATTGGTTTGTAAGTCACAACCCATTTAAATTTTTAATAAATACATTTATTTTTGTCTCAAATTGTATTGTTATTTTATTTACAAATTTATACAAATATATGTTAAAGGAACAGAGTTAAAAATTCAAAAATAAATAAATGTAGCTGTAATGGCATAGGCTCAAATTAAGTTGTTAAAATAGCGAAGGAACTTATTTCTTGTAATGTTGGCTGCATTCCTGCCTACATCTTCGCCTGGGTTATTAAATTCTGTTATTGAAATTAATGATTCTATTTCGGTTGTAACTCTAGTCATGCTTTCTCCAAAATTGCAGGCTATATTATGCAATACTGCTGTAGCAACAATAATGCTTTGTGATGAAGTAATTTTTACATTTATTCCGGTAACTAATATTGGAAACCGACGTTTCCAAACACCGTGACTTCTTTCAACAGTATTTCTAGTCCTAATTAATGACTCGTTATATTTAGCTACAGCTTCTTCATAAATACCAGAGGATTGATCAATAACTGTGTTAGGGCTTCCAACCAAAGTCATAACATAGTTACGTTGCGCATAGCCACTATCAGCTACTAAAACGCAGTCCCTCATTTCGTCAATTTCTAATTTCCTTCGTATTTCTGAATTATTGAAAATAGTAGAATCATGTGATGAACCAGACCATCGAGCTACTATGTCTTGAATTTTTAAGTTTGTATCACAAATTGTCTGAACATTGATTGAGAAAAAAATTTTTCTATTTCTATATACCTCTGCATTATCTCCTCCAGGTGATTTAATCTTGACGTGGGTACAGTCTAATGCGCCAATAACCATCGTAAATTTAGCTATGTTGTAAAAATCTTGTTTTACTTTTTTTAAATCATTTACATTGATGGGAAAATTGACATATTGAGGACGTAATATAGCAATGTTATGTGAAACAAGTTTTACAATACGACTTGCAGTCGATTTATGAATGCCAATGAAATCTCTACATACAATTAACATTGATCCTGTTGCATAATATCTTAGTGTTGGGAGCACTTTATCCTCTGGACTCACAGCATTATTCTTATTATAAATGTTTAAACTATTAATAATAATTTAATGCATATTTAAAACAAGAATTAGAAAAAAATAACAAATGAGGTCAAAAAATGGTATAAGTCAAAAAACAATTGAAAAAAAATCATTAAGTTAAAATTAAATTTGTTTAGATGTAATTAATAAGGCCCGGAATTATATGCTTTTGCATGTTTTTTTTAACAGTCCAATAAATAGCTAGATAGATAAAGTTTTCTTTATGTGCAACTACAACAATTTATCGTCAATAATGATTTCGATAATGAAAAACTATATAGTAATGGACTAATGGAAGTCTTTTTATATAGACGAGTGAATATTCAAAATGCATTTTTCATTATACATAATACAATTAAATTATTTTGACTAGGCATTTAATACATTTTTGTTCCATATTAATTATTTATTGAATAATAAACATTTTTAAGCTAAATAAATTTAATTAACATCTATTTTGTATATTAAAATCAAAATAGTGCATATAATTTCGGACCCTAGTAATTAATAATTACTTTATCATAATTTTATGAATTAAACAATATTTTTTATAAATGATCATAAATTAAAAAAAAAAAAACAATTAGGAAAAACTTACCAATCGGTACGGGAACATATACGATCACCTATTAAATCGACAATAAAGCGAACTGTATTTTTGGATAGTCGAAATCTGTTGAAGAATTCATCATCTCTGTTTCGCCCTAGTCACTCCTGCCAAGGCGGTCGGTGTCTAGGACTTGCACCTAAATGAATGGGACGAGTACACAATCTACTAATCGAATATAAACTAAATAATAACGAATGAAATCATTAACATATATTGGCATAAGAATATAATAGGTAATAAATAATATATAATAATAATGTCACTGGAGTGATCAGCCTACCAGTGAACACAAACAATATTAGTTATAAAACATTAAGAGACAACAAGCTAAAATAGCGGGCGAACTGCTCGTAAAAATTATATAATATTAAAGGGAGAATGAAATCCACAACCACGTGGACTGGGAACTGCAGGAATCACCAATCAATCTTGATCACACATGAACTGCTACCGAACTGGGGTACAAAATGACGAACTGGCTGGACGAGAATGTATCGACGCAGCCACAGTTTAATAGAAAATCTAAGAAACTATTTGATGCCGAACTGGCTAATAACGATGATCGGAGCACAATCAAACTACGAGGTGTGTAAAACCGATACGAACAACGAAACAATGTTTTCAATATGGCGAACGGCGACCTGTCCGCGTAACGGTGTTTATCCGCCGTCTCGAGCTAGACCGGAGGTAGAGGGAGCGTCCTCCGCCAGTGTCACCAACGACGGACAGTGGACAGCCGCCGCATAGTGACCAAGTCGAACATACCCCTGGATACAGCGGTATCACAACATGGAACTCGGACTTAGGGTGATGTAGAGCTGATATGTATTTGGAACGGCGTGCTGGTTTGACGACGAACTGAAACAGCGAGCTGTTAACATCGGAGCGGAACTGAATCGAATTTAACGGTCGAACTGACTCGAGCGGGAGTCGCAAAGAAACTGACCTTGATGTAAGTCGTAATGACTTCGACGGCGGAGCTTACGTGAGCGCAAGTCATCTGACTTCGTTGGCGGAGCTGTCTTGATGCGGATCCATACCGTCACGGGATGATTGAACTGGAGCTGTTCAGGTGATGATAGAGCTTATCTGAGCTTGAGGGGAAATACATTTTTATAATAATAACAATAACGAGCAGTTACCAGGTATACATTTAATAATGAAACAAAATTAATTAAACAATAAATGACAATAACAACCATAAAATAGCTAAGTTATTATAATATGATTATATAACAAATAATAAAAGCAAATTACTAAGCAACTGAATCATTGTTGGTGCCGAACTAAACACCAATCACGTAACAGCGAAACTAGAGCGAACATGGGGTAAGATAAACATCATATACAAATAAAAATTAAAAATGAGCCCTGAGTAGACCGAACTGTTCTCCTTCCCAATTATATAAAACAGAATTTATTATTATTGAGTGGGAAGTGGAACCAACTTCACTACAGGTCTAGTAGTGAGGCCTTGTTCCGTGAGCAATTTAACTACCTTACGCACCGTCTGAACCGGTGGTAGCTCTTGATTCGACCCAACCTCCACACAACGGGAAGAGTTATTGTCTGATAATTACTAACTCACCCAGTTTAAGATTCTTCTGGTTACAAACCATCGTCGCTGTCTGTAGAGTATGCAAACTGGACAACGACGCCAGAACGATTGAAACCTGGTGGAGGAACTCAACGGTTTTGAGATTGTCGAGCTGACGGAGATCTCTGGTTCAGGCAATGCAATCAAGTGCGTCTACCAACAAGAAAATGACCAGGGTAAGACAATCTAAAATATTCGGGTCATTAGGACGATGCGTTAAGGCCTAGTAATTCAATACCGACTCTATTCTACACAAAATTGTCAGAACTCTTCGTACGACGAATCTGGTTATGACTACCATGAACCAACAAGAGCTTAGTGGAACAACAGGTTTCAGAGTCCACCAAAGTGGGAGACCTAGGCGGATTGAAATTCCAAGAACAAGCAAAAGCGGAACTGAGCTGATCGCGGTTTTTAGGTCAAAGTCGCGTCTTTCGACGCCCAACAAAATTAGTCCAAGTCGGAATATACGCCTCGCACAGGATTCTCGCGAGCCACGAAGCGGTCAAACGCTGCCAAGAAAGATCTGTGGACAGATCTGTACCAGCTCAAGGTGAACTGCCTTGACGTCATACATACAAACACTGCAAAATATAGACCTTATATTGCCGTGCCTTTCTAGGTTAGTTTTTATAAGAAGCGGACCAGATAATCACTGCCACTGCAGGCGAAGGGATGACACTGTGGACTCGAAAGTCAGGTAAAGTAGATTATTGGTTGCGGGTTACGAGCGGACAAACTGACGCAAACAGTACATTCACTAATGGACGACGAATAAATAACGACGTTACGATCCAAAACAAAAGTCTGCTCATATATAGATCTGACATGAGACGAGTGACCAGTATGATACAAAGCGAACGATGCCAATGTTGCAACGAGCATGACAAATGAGAGGATTTGGACAATAGAATAGAAACTTGCGTCGATCTGGACAACAGAAGAGACGAAGAAGCGACCGCCCACCGAATGACGCATTTTTATCTATAAACGGTGGTGATGACGAGCAATGGCGAAGAGAAGAGATAGACGACATGATAGCTCGACAAAGCCTTAAAAATATAGCTTGGGAGCATTTGACGATCGCCATTGAAGTGCATCATTATAATCATAGAAAGAAATAAAACTGTATCTGTGAGTCTTGCGGATAATTTTACAAGACGTTGTAAGCGAACAAACAACCCGCAGCATGCGATTTACGATGAAATCGCGAAACCACTATTTACTCCCCGTCCTTCGACAAAACAAGACACCTGATCCTCCCGGGTAGCTGATTCGATGGAACTGTTCAACCTTGACCAACTTTCACCGAACTGATGTAAAGGAAGGACCCGTCCAATAGAGGTCACACCTGAGCCAGTTCTCCAGGGCATCTCGAAGACAATCAGCTGGATTTATGCTGGATGACATAAACCAACGACAGAAGAAGCAACTCTCGAATTTGTTAACTCGATTTGAACAAAATCTTATAAGACATATGTGGTGTTTAATCCACGATAACACCACCAACGAATCTGACCAAGCGAAAACATTGTCGATAACGAGCGAGACGACAAGGTGCTGTATACGACTCTAACCAGCATAATCCAGCAGCACATAATTCAAGACGAGGTGTTATGGACAGGTTTGGTGGGAGCTAATTTGGTTTACTGCCTAGAAGAACACGAAACTTGCGGATGATGATCGGACACACGCAACAAATGTACAGCAGCATAACCTTGTAGCAATACGCAATGGAACGAAGTACAACAG